TCTGTTGTATAATATATTAATGTCTTGTTGGATGAAATACTGTTATCTTAGTTAGAAACAGCTGGCACAGTTCCTGTTCATTTCCTTCAGAATAAGGGTATGATAAATAATTGTGGTCAGGGTTTTGAAATGTTCCTTCTGAGAGTTACATTCATTCTAAGCTATGTGTACGCCGCATTAGTACAATTTCTCTCAACATACCCTAAAAATATCTGCAGAATGCATAAAACTTAGCAATTTTCGATTGAAGGTTTTAGTCCTTCAATTCCTGTGTGAAATGCTACTGAGTGCAAGAAACTGACAACTATTCGTTCCAAAAATTAAACCTAGCCGCGATTATTTAAATCTATTCGTATTAAATTGTTCAATTGTGTGAATCAAGAAAGACAATAATTTATAAACGTTGAGAAATATCTTTCAGATTTTGTTGTGAGTGTTGTGCGCTATCCTCCTTGTTGACTCTCAGGAAAAATCCTAAAAGCTGTGATTCTGTATGTTTATTTGGTATCATGTACTAAATTTTTATTATTTATCTTCAACTGGGGCGTACAAGTACAAGTGAGTCCATTTGCGTGAATCGTGTCATATAGCCTTCTTATTTCGGTCATACCGCATTGATTTCTTGTTGTTCAAGAACGAAGTGTAACTTGTGCCGATTAAATTACAAAAGGTTAAACTTATAACGGCCTTTCATTTTTTTCCCCTCATATGGAAACCTACCATCACACTATCACAACCTCCGACCAGCGCAAGGGGCAATGAGGGTGGTGAAACATGGGGCTGTTTCCCACTCCCTCCAGGCGCATTCCGAGCATTCGACCGCCAGCTTGTTAGCGTGGCCAAGGCACCCCTTGATTTCGTTAGACTGACCGAGCCTCCTCCACACCACCCCGCACTGCCCTCCACTCCCCCGGAGAGGGGGAAGGCCAGGATGACGTCAATGCGATGCGGGTGGGACATTTTAGAATGAGCTCAGCCAAAGCCATTTGTCTTAAAGTACACGGCAAATTATTGTTATATTTTTACAACAAATGTTTCAAACTTTCATCTATGGCGTACCCGTAACATTGCCCGACAAGCTTTCTTCGAAAGTTCCCCGTAGTGCTCGACTGCGTCAACACGGGACGGGGAGACTAACTTTCCTGTTTATGTTTTGTCTGAGGTCGTTGAAAGACACGCAAGCGAACAGAGGGCAGTGGCGACCGCGGTGCTGCCGTGGCGTCGCGGCGCAGTGTCTCCGTGAAATGGCATTCCCGTGACTCGGCAAGTTTGCTCTTGCTCGGACATATTTCGTAAACGCCCTTTACCATTAAGAGTTCCAAAAATAAAACACGTCGTTTCAGTAAATGTCGAGAGAGTCATTTCTGATTCCGTATCCTTCGGCGTGGGCCGAGACATCCTTTAGGCTGCGTCCCGTCTCGGAGTCCATCTGGAAACTCAAGTCGAGCCGCTCCATAGAAAATGCCTCTACATGACGACGCCGCGCCGCGCCACGCCACGCCACGGCGCGCAGTCCGCGGACCAGGCACAGTCGGCGCGGGCCGAGCTGGGCGCGGCGCGGCGCGGGCCGCGAGGGACCGCGAGCGCCTCAGCTTGGGCCGCCGCGACCGTGCGGAGCGCAGCGCACCCGGCGGCTGCTGCACTGGCAACGCCGGCCGGGGCATGCGCGGGGGGCACTGTTGCCAACAGAGCGCCGCGCACAGCAGCGCAAAGCAGCGCAAAGCAGCGCAAAGCCGGGCACGGCAAAGCAAGCGCCCTCCTTCACCTCCTTTCACCGCCCCTCTCCTCCCCTCCCCTCTCCTCTCCTCTCCTCTCCTCTCCTCTCCTCTCCTCCTCCCCTTCCCTCCCCTCCCCTCCGGACATGCAGCTATGCGACTCAGCCGACCAACCAAACACCGCTGTTGCAGCTGCAGTAAGGCCTGCCGAGGTTTCAGGCTGCAGCTGCGAAAAAAGGGGGGCCGCTGTGTTCTGAGGTGCGATAAAGAGGGTTGATCGGAATGAGGTTCGCACTCAGCCTACTGTGACCACTTTCCAGGGGCTCCACTGGAAAAAACAAAAATACAGGACACCTGTTACGCAAGAGTCTCAATTGTTTCAATGTCTATTTTTAAAGAGTGCCGTCGCTGTGCCCCGATGGAGCAAGTGCGTATACTAGCCCGCATGCAGACGAGCGGGCGGGTCGCCTACTCGCACGGGGCCATAAAGCATCGGGACTAGAAACGAGACGATAGCGCAAACCTAAGGGAAACCCGTCTGCACTCTGCAAACTCAACAGTGTTCACCTGATGTATCAGCAATCATTGATGATCACTGGTACATCAGTGTACGTGCCATGATTTCTGATATATCAGCAATCATTAACAAAGACGTTTAGGTTCTAAGCTAATATTTCCTTTCTACGGGTAACATTATTGGAAAGTGGAAAGCATTTCCACATTCCTCGTGAAAAGGGCTTTTAAATTAGCCCCATTACACAGTAGCTCGTTTGAAAGCTCTTTTCACGGGGAATATGGAAATGCTTTCCACTTTCCAAAGTTATCCGTCTGCAAGTAAATATTAGCCCAGAACCTAAACGTGATCATTGATGATTGCTGATATATCAGCAATCATGGAATGTACACTGATATACACCCAGAGAATCGTTTCCTTGAATCAACGAAGCCTGCTTTAAAACAAAGAAATTATTTACTCAATATAGATTTAAAGAAATGTTTTTAAATCAAAGCAGCCTCTTTTGATCCAAAGAGGGCCTTCTTTGATTTAAAGATGTTTGTTCAATTAAAAGAAACAATCTCTTTATTTCAAAGAAATATATCTTTGATTCAAAGAAAAACAGCTAAATTGA